ACGACATATACACAGATGTAGATTATACCATGAAACATGCATGACAAGAAGGGAGTAGTAATTGTTGTATTACAAGCAATTTGTTTGCAAAATAAGGGTCGTTTCTGTTTTAAGCATTAAGTGAATTTCATTTTTGCAAAAACAATACATACACATATTTGCTTTATCCTAAACTCATATTTGTACATATACATTTATACACGCAGATGAATCTGCAAGGTGAAAGATTACATCCCATCAAATGTGAGCACTCAAGGGGATTCCACCATGCTGTCAATGCATTTGCCCCCTCGCTGGCGGTTAACAAAAACAATTCGAGTAAAAGCTGTACCATCTAGCATGACAAGTAATGGGTCCTGAGGATGAGCACCGCTCGTTAACAGTTGAGATACATGACTGCGCATAGCACACACATGGCAACACATGTTTTACTGCATGCACACTGAGGGTCACACCCCTGCAGAAGTTGCCTATTTTTGAGGTTTTTAGTGTTAGTTCGAACTTAGAATAGTCAACTGCAAATTTAACAGAAGCAACAGACAGATTCACTCTAGGACAAAACTGATTGTATGTCAACTCCTCCCAAACGTAAAAAGGCAAAGAAAGCTGGACAAAAGGTTGCCTTGAGCATGATGTCCATGTATGGCGAAAAAAAGGCCATGGTTCAAGGTCAGTACTAATTGTTGTAGCACCATAATTGTAACTTGAAAGCGTATTTGTTTTTTGGCACCGGATGTCTTCTTTACAGACCGCATGATGGTCTCTAAATGCAACACGGTACCATGACACCAAGGCATTGTGTACCCCATGACATAGATAGGCAAATCTAACCCCGCTCAGATATTCCCAGATTATAGAGTATGTCAGTCCAAGTTTGTAATGGCAGTGAGACACAAAATTTAACAATATTTGTTCTGTGAGCTGAGGTAGAACACGGGGAAACCACACCACACCGGACATACTCATAAATAACAGGAAGGCTCTTAACCCAGAGTCGTACACAGTTCTTGTATGCTTGGAGATCGCTTGTGACCAGAGGCGATCTAAGTCAAGATCGGAGGCATTGTTAGGTCTTTGAGTTGCAGGCAGGGAGTGGGGTGTGGTTGAGACCTGGGAGCTAACTGACAGAACTTCTGCATCTGGAAACGGGAAGAAGCATCTGCTATAAGATTGACACAACCTGGCATATGTACGGCGCTAAACACAAAGTTGTACGTTGCTGAGGAGCTTTCGTTTAGTGATTTTCTTTTTTCAATCAATAGATTCCATTATCTGCAGAATTCTGACAACTGTAGCTTCTGGGAGATGGGCTTCCATGTTCTCCGAGTCTAGCACAATGCCCAAATACTCTAAGCACTGAGTGGGGCCGATTGTCTTATATAAGGACAATGGAATATTTAGGTCTGCAAATAAGTTCACCATTTTCTGCATTGTGCCCACTCACACAGTTTCATCAATTGTGAGAAAGTCGTCCAACAGGTGGAGTATATGGGTTACACTGTACACATGCTCAGCAATCCAGCAAATTGATTCAGACAGTTGATCAAAGAGTTCGGGGCTGGATCCAGATCCCAAGACAAACCTTGTGTAATAATAGAAGTGTTCGTCCCATTGAATTCCATGAAGATGCCACATAGAAGGGTGTATGGGAATGAGTTTAAAAGCATCTGCATTATCAAACTTGAACATGTGCGCCCTGGGTCCAATAGTCTTGATGATCTCAATAGCATCATCTACCTTCACACAGGTCAGTGGATGGCCTTCCTTGCTGATTAATGAGTTAAGACTAGGGTGTTGGTCATCATTGTGAGGTGATGATAGGTCCACGATCAACCGCTTCTTTCATAAATATATTTTCCTTCCCCGATGCCAATTGGGTTGACTCTGTGGGAAGGGAAATGAAAAGGACCTATCAGAAAAGCCTTGTCTAGTTCTTGCTGCAAAAGGGTAATGACCACCTCTGGATTGTTACGAGCTGACAGTAAATTACAACAAATCTTGGATTGTGTTGGTGGATTTAAAATACCGGTTAGAAAAACATGAGTCAGTCCATGAATGAGCGTGTTGACAGCTCCAACTTTTTCACAGGTACTCAGTTTCTCAGCTAATACCCTGACATTGATTGAGGGTGGAGTGCATTGTAGTCATTGGTTACGCTTGGCTATCTGACGATGGTCCAGAGTTCCATTGTGTTCTGAACCACTGTGCTGGTAACACTTAAACTGGGAGTGTGACTTGTGACACATAAGACAAATGTGCCTGAATTTGCAGCTGGCATGCACACATCGATCGGCGTTCCACTGGCCCTGTCATCTGCTCTTGCGTGTCACGTGCCGGCAGTTGTTGGTTGGTGGTGTACCTGTTGGCATGGTTGGTAACCACAATGAAGCAAAATTCTGTCATGTGACCTATATCCTGGCACAGCTGACAAGCCTTGACATGCTGGCCTGTGAATATCACCCTGTAAAGGTCTGTGTCGACCTTACTCCAATCCACTTTCCAGTTCTGTTGCTCGAGTAGGGCTGCTGCTTTAGCCGAAAACTTGCTATGATACTGGTAGAACAGTTGGTTGCCATACTGGGCATGCATCTCCAGGATGCAATGCTCATACTTGTCTTACTCCTTGTCTCGCTGTGGCAACCTGATGCACATAATACTTTTATATCTGGCAAATGCCACGACGAACATATTAATTGTCAATGGCATGGTCATCCTGGTGTTGACCTGTGGTTTCAGGAGCATCTGTGTATTGTTGACCGCGAATGCCCTTGCCGATGTAGACATTTCGTCTGGGATCATAAGTAATGCCAGATTTATATGCTTACCCTCCCAGATCTATTTGCGGAGAGTAGGTGAGACGATCTCCACATCCGGTATGCTTGTGAGTGTGGAGTTGCTCACTGGTGCGGGCTGTTGCCCCTGAACGCCAAGGGGTCGTCGGCAGCATATCTGGCTGAATACAGAGTAAATGGTCACGTCTGTGGCATGAATTGTGGTTCTATCTCTGTCTGGCTGAGATTGGCACATACTTGCTGTGTTGGCAGGCTTACAGGACTGTTGGTGTCGACTTTTCGGGCCAATGTCACTACTTGTGACTGTAATTGTTGAACCATGGACACCAATGTTGATAATAGTCCCTATTCCATATTGGACCCTAAATTCGACATGGATTCCTATGGTTGGGAATTCTACAACGGGGCACCGTCGCCATTGTTGTCTGCCGCTTTGTTCAGGTTGTTGGAATATAATTCCTGATATTGTCTCCTCGTCAGACCTTGAGGTGGTCGAATGCCTAGGGTGTTGCTGATGTAAGTAGTCATCCGGTCTGTCGACCAATTCCTGGGGAATACTGAATTGGGTCGTATGCGAGTATTGATACTGGAGCAAAGGCGTGTGATGGTGCTCCAAGGTCTCCTGCTATGTTTCTGCCTGCGAATCGGGAGGCATGATTAGTATGGATAAAAATTTAGGTTGCGGCGACACTTGACAATGGCGATGGTGTTAGATTGATCGCAAATAGAAATATTTTTTTTGTGGCTGAACAAGCATATGGCATGGCGACCGACAACATTGCTATTGAGCTTGAGTGGAAATATCGAATATAAACAGACGTTATTGAGTATAAGTTTTCTAATGGAAAATATCATGTACAGAACACAACTGAGTTAATATAAAATAAACTTTGTATACAATGTTATTCGGGTTTCGTATATACAAGCTGTGTTGCTCATGTGACACAGTACTAGTGCTGAAGTTGTGATTACCTGGGACCCACGACGTTTGTATGCACGTACCTGTGACAAGACTACCAAACTTCAGTAATACGAATGCGCTCAAGCAGTTTGTGTTATTATAAACCCAGTAAATTTCATTGACAATCATTTAATTGCCAGTTTTTAGTGATACATTTAAAATAATAATAATAACCATAAGAGTAGCACTTTGGTACACTTTTTATAACTGGATAGTGGCATACAGTCAAGTCCCGTTAATCGGACATTGTAGGTTGCATATGATTATGTCGGATTAACCAGTATGTCGGATAAAAAGAATTTAGGTAATATCAATCTTCGTGATCGAAAATGAGAGGACTACACGATAGATAACGATTCAAACATGTTGTAATAAAAAAAGGTAAAGGGAAATATTCATATTGTTGTATTACATTGTTAGCGGAATATGTTTTCTAATCATGCAACCTCTAAAGTTTAACGCGAAACTATTGTCACGGACTGTATGACTGATTTAAAATACCTTTTTATAGGATAGTCTGGAATGGAAGTCGTTAATTTGAAACTTGTGCCGCAATGCTTAAGAAAGCAGCTTTCTTAGTGGCTAATGTGGACTTCCTGTTAGTAATTTCATTGGTCGGTCAAAGTTTGCGAAAGATTCTGATGTGACCTTTAATGGAACGTCTTCAGTGGTAGCAAGAACTTGTGAAATTAGGTTTATCAGAGCAGAGTGAGTGTCAGTAACTGTCAAGTATCATGTGTATGTGACCAAAACACAAAAGTCTGATTAGCAAATAAAAGCTTCCAGATCCCAGGTTACAACAGACCAAACATTGTGTCATCTAAAATAACAGGGCCCTCTTGCACAAAGCGATCTTAGTTCTACGACTATTGTAAGCCAATGTTAAAGTATGTGACTTACGATCATCTTAATTAGCGCTAAGATCATTTTGTGCAAGTGGGCCCTGGTCGAACAATTGCCCCCTTGCTGATCCGAAGCCCAGTTTGTCAGGTTGTTGACACTAATTGGCATCTGGTGATTACGCGGGTTAATTTAAGATGTGCCAACAAGACGGCTGGAAGCTTTGTTTCCCTTTAAAAGTATTTCAGGTATAAGATATCTTTACCATCTGTCTCCAATTTTGAACAAAAACATAAAGCAGCCCCCTGCAACAGCTACAAAACAAAACTTATAGTTAAATTCCATAAGCTGAGCTGAAGAAGAAGTCGTCATTAATGCAAATAAGAAAATAGTCAAAATTATCTTACCGTACAAGTTGACTAAGTTTTGCCATTAACAAAGCCATCTTCTTTGCAGCAGAAATAATCTCATTGTCTTTGCTGGACCATTGTTTAGTCTCCATGTGTAAAGCATGTGCAGCCATCTGAAAACAGAATGTATCAAAATACTTGATGCTATGAGAAAGTTAAAACCAAAAGATTTGCTGTTTAAGATATTAGTACATAGCATGTAAACTAACATCTACTTGTCATACAACTACCATAATTTTCTTGAGTATAGTGCGAACCCAAGTATAATGCGCAACCTGCTCTAACGGATTCAGTATTATTGAGAAAAAAAATCGAATATTATGCGCAGAAATAATCCACCAACAACGTGACTTGTTGGGACGATCCTATACAACCATGATCATTCGCAGGGTCTTTGGATATCGATCCTCCAAAAGACTTATGAAGCTGGACTCTGGCGCAGATGCTTAGTATATCCTGAACTGGCTGTACATCATACTTGGTGGGATAAACTAGGAAACCTGGATGCGACAGCAGTTGGATGAGAAACATCGCGTTATGCTGGAGCTGATTCCTGTTTGGAGCTGAACTAGATGCATTTGTGCAAACCTGATGATCAGGCTGTGATCCATATGAACAGCCAGGGAGCTATCGATATGCGCAATGGAAATTCATAACAGTAGTCGTTTAGAGGAGAAACTTCAGGGATCCAGGATAAATAATTACATGGAGACAAGCAGAGATCCAAGAACTGGTCCCTGATGGAAATGCAACTTGTATCCCTTTCTCACAACTTTGAGAATCCAGTGGTCAGTCGTGATATGCATCCAACTTTCGTCAAATGACTCAAAACATCCTATCACTGGTCTCGGAATTGGTGTTCGCAAACTGAAGTTAATTAACAAATCCAGGTCTATACGCTTCGTGACAGTCAAAGATGGCATTCACCTCTTCCCCTTGCAGCGGTCCTGCCTACTGCTCTATGTTTCTGCTCAAAATGTCACAAGCTATCCCTTGTTTTGGTGTTCAGAGGCCATGTAGATCTATCCTTCCATCTGCTTATGTGGAAAGATTCCTTCCCTGATGGATAAACTCTCTCTCAACAAAATCCCGAAGGCCGACTCTCAAGATCTCTTGGATTGAAAAGCTGAACTGTGGGCATAAACTGACAAATTGATGGTTGAATACTGGAACCTATTTGTTGTGTCTTGGTGCACTTCTTCAAGGACCCTATGTAGCTTCTTGTTAGGTTGAGCCAGGACAGATATCTTGTCTTGTTCAGTCACCGCTTTATGCCGGACTTGTGAGATAAGGTGTTGCCTCTGAGACCGTAACAGCTGGCTCGACATCCAAACTTGGGAAGACAAGAGATCTTCACTCCAAGAGGCTATGGATGAAGGCTACAGATGATCTACACACAGTGACTGGCACATCGCCTGAAATGCCCTCATAAGAATCATGAAGAGGAGGTATGACATAGTATACTCCTGCCAAGACCCATTTAATGTACGCCCAAATCTCCATAGTATGTCTACTGACGAAGCCCCTTGACCCTGGCCATAGGCAATGACATCTTGGGTGCTGGCCAATTTCACACTAATTTGGACTGTCTGGAAAAGTATTATCGTACGTTTGGTAGATGCGCCTTTTCATCTGAGGTAGAGGCAAGTTTCATTGGTATGATTTATCAATTGCTTTGCATGACTTGGCCACGGGAAGGTAGGAAGAAGTAGATGGGCTGTGACAACCAGCATACTTAAGCATTTGAGGTGCAGACTCTTTCTCTACATTTAGGATAGAGGTCCAAAATAAGACCTGTAACTGGCCTCAAGTAGTTCGACAAAGAAATAGCCGGGCTCATAGTTGTCCATAGGTGGCCACTCAAAATCTATATTTTCATTGTTCTCAAGGTCTGAGTCATCCCTGTTCCCCGTGCGATATCCCAAGGGGGCGTTATCTGGCTGGTCCCTGTGTGGTACATGGTTCAGTGGTGTCCAGTGGTGACCCGTCTTGCACAAACTCTCCACTGGACGACAGTCTATGATTCAAAACATCAGTAGTGTCAGTCTGATCATGATTGCCTACCCTAATGGTGAGTGCATTCTGCTGATCAGTTCACACATTTTTGCAACATAATTATGTTAACAATATTGAATGAAATCCTGACTAAAATTAACATAATAGATTACAAACAAAAGGCGAGATACACAATGAACACTTTCTTAGCCAGACATTGTAACAAGAGTAGTAACTTGCATACTTCAGTACAGATTTTGCGAAATGCCATTTCCGGTGTTTCTTAATCACTGTAATGTCTTTAATTTGGAAACAAAATTGAAACTCATTGTCTGTGTTTATTATGCGCATCCCCCTGTACAGATCTGTTTTTTTGGGGGGAAAAATGGTGCACTATATGCAGGAAATACAGTAGTCAAATATTCCTGAGTACCCTGTTATTTTTGTAATTGTACTTCAATATACCTGTTTGATATCAAAAGCGATGTTCTCATGATCACAAGTCTTATAGTGAGATTGTAAAATAGTGTTAAGAAAACTAATACTAATTCACTGGCTTTTCACAACATGAGGCAAAGGTAATCATGAAAACATGCATCGCCTAACTGGTTGGTCAACACAGAAAACTTCTGTGTGCTCTTGATTGCATACATTGCATAACATCAAGAGTCAATGAAGTTGACTTCTGTTATTAACAACAGTACAAAAGCTTCAAAAGGCTGCTTCAAATAGGATTAAAGGAGACAAATCTATCAGGATTTTACACATAAAGGAATACATCTATGTAATTCTTGTGGATGGTAAAGGTTAGAGATAGACATTCCAATTAAGTTTACACATGTTAATCACCATAATGGGTTGATTTGGCTGAGGAATGGGGAAAGCTGTTTCATCCTCATCATCTGTCTCTGGTGGAGGTGGCCGGGGAGGAGCAGTCTCGTAAGGCAGGGGTGGACGAGGTGGAGCCGTTTCTGGAACAAAGTTGATAAGGTGTCAGGATTAATGAACATGGTGTGGCATAAAGCACACCTCTGAGGACTTGAATGAAAATGCCATCATAATAGCTTGGGTAATCTATAGACCTAGACCCAGAGGTTTTCCCTACATCAAGTGCTTCAATCTCAATCAACCAAACTGCTTATTATACTTAGAAACTAACACTTACATGCACAACATTTATTAGAATTCACTTAAATCTGAATGAAATGATGTATTACAAAACTGTCCCTTGTGAAATGTAGTGATGTAGTGATAACACAGAACCTATATTAAACATGCAAGACAAACAGACATGAAAAGATGAATTTGCAAAATATCATCAAATGACAACTGATAACTGAATTACTTTGCAATGATTACTATTTTTTACCCTAAAAATATTTACCATTGCATGAAAGTTATCACTTTAGGTACTGATGGGTTACCCATCTATCTCATAACGTAACAATGTGGATGGAGGAAAATTTCAGCTAAAAGGTCATTTAATTGATCAATTTGTATTCTACCAAAGTTCCTATTGCATCAATTAACAGTGCAAGATGCTCCCTTTCACTGGTCAATGTAAGTAAGTGATTACACAATTTTGCAAGTCAAGAATAATGCCTAATATATTTTTGGTTTTAATATAAAATATTCTCAAAAGCTACCTTGCTATGCAAGGAAAGTTCAGCATTAAGACTCTCTTTTGAAATGCTATTTTGACATGTTAAAAGATGGATAAAAATAGCCCCACTTAGCTCAACTGTCTTGTAGCTTACATGGTTAACAGCTCAAAATGACGAAATGTGAGTGAGTAAAGTATAAAATGTTGCTTTGAACAGCATTTCAGTTATATCATAGCGTGACCAGTAAATCTGGGAGGAAGACCTGGAGTGATGCAGTCGAAGATATAAATCAATTTCATGGGGAAAACCCACGACCATGGGTGTGCTGCTTACAAATCTTGGATCACAGATTTGAAGCCATGAATAGCAGATTGTGGCACAAGCAGGGAACACTAGTCTGCACTATGACCAGTTGAGGCACATTTAAACCAAAGGGACACCCAAACCAGTCTCCTTAAATTTCAGCTTCATCAATTTCAGAGACATAGGATATCTAGACAAGGTCAAAGTCAGCAGTAACCAGAAGACAAAGCCATCAATATTGCTTTCAAATATCAAAATCACAAAAAAAATACTGTCATGTATGTGATTATACCAATCAAAAGTATGTTAATCCTCAACTTTGTGAGTACAAATGCCCCAAACCTTGGTAGATTCAAAACCTTCACTACAGTCCTTCTCTAAATGCTTTATACCTTCCGATCAAGTGAATTATTGAGGGCATTTTTCTACAGGTGGATCTTTTCATTTAATAGTAATGTTAAATAGTATAAAATTTCGAAAATCTTAAGAATGATGGTCTCCAATGGAAGGAGAACATCTGTCACCAGCTGCAGCTGTCCAACACAACCAGCAGTCCACCATCACAGATATGAAAACACAATTCCTTCACTTCATGTAAAACAATCATCTGTTAAATTGTGAGTATTTTTAATGAGAAAAAAACCAACAATTAATAATGGGTTGCATGGTAAGGGATGTGTTAATTGTCAGTAACAATGTTCTCAGCTGGACAACTAAAACCTGAAACAAAAAAATTAGTAACTTAATTGTGCTCAGCGTGTATGCCTTTCAAATATCTTGACAGTTATACCCGTAATTGCTTAAAAAATAATACAAACATGAAATATGCAGCCATATTTCATAGTTTTCTACGAAAATGTCATACAATGTTGCCTTACACAACAAAGCACAGTGATGGTCTCTGCAACAATTTTTGCTAAAGATGTTAAGTGAACAATTTGGGTTTACAATTTAGCTTAATATGTGAGGAAAGCCAAATGGTATACAGGCAGAAGACATTTCAACTTTGGTAAAACTAAAGGGTATGGGTATGGTGCTGACACAAACGATCACAACTGGGGCTAATCTGTTATTTGAAAGCATGACCAGCCAGCAACGGAGCCTGGCAAAGATAAGAGATGCATCTCTGCAGAGAGATATGCAAAAGCTCAAACATCATGAAGACCCTTACAGTATTATTCCTATTCACATGCTGAAAAAAAAACAACTTTAAAAATTTAAACTCAAATCATAATTAAGTAACAGTGCGGCCATGAAGACACATCAGGCTGAGCAATTAAGTTACAAATAGCCAAAGGAAAGGAACTGTTGCTCACCAGGTACATTCATATTGAGCAGAATGTTACACACAGCATAATCGTTTTGCTATCAAGGAAGGACAGGGCAGCTGTTAATTGATTACCGGAATGTAATTTCTGGTCTGCTTGAAAAGACAATTTAATGCCAATCTACCATTCTTTAAAACATCAGTATGAAAACAAACATTCATGTATCAAATCATATTTAAAGCAGTTTCTTAGTTCTTTAAGTGCTATATTGTAGTCATACCTACCACACAAACTTTCTCTGATATGGCAAGCCATTTTCACTTTTATTAAGGAATTACAGACAACTTCAATTGTTTTAAAGATATCTTGAAATGAATTGAAGATATCTTGAATGGAATTGAAGATATCTTGAATGGAATTGAAGATATCTTAAATGCAGATAATTGTAGATATCTGCAATAAAGTTTAAGATATCTTCAATTGTTTTAAAGATATCTTGAAATGAATTGAAGATATCTTGAAAAGAATTGCTGATATCTTAAATTCGATTATTGATATCAAAATGTTATTTAAAGATATCAAAATGTCATGTTTTGTTATGATGTCATTAATTCAATTCCTGATATCTTGAAACTAAATACAGATATCAATGATTAATTATTGATATCTTCAATTGTTGCCATTATTAAAGATGTTACATTAATAATGTTACTTAAATTAGATAACTGATATCAATAATTGATATAAAGATATCATCAAAAGTATTAATGATATCTTTAATTGGATGTTTGATATCAGTAACGGTCAGAATTAATGATATCTTGAATTGAATTAAAGATATCTCTAATTGAATTAAAGATATCTCTAATTGAATTAAAGATATCTCTAATGCATTTGTGGATATGTATAACTTATTTCAAGATATCTTGAATTGAATTTAAGATATCTTGAATTTATTTCTAGTATATTTATGTACTGTAGGATGGTAATTGTTTAATGATATCTTAAATACATTTAGAGATATCACAAACTAGTTTGTTGATATCACCGTAATATTTTAAGATATCAGTAATTGTATTATGGATATCAGAAATGAATTTAAGATATCTTTAATTATTTTTTGATATCTTAAAATCATTATTGATATCTTTAAATAAAATACCGATATCTTTAAAACAATTGAAGATATCTGTAATTCCGTAATAAATGTGAAAACGGCTTGCCATACTCTGAGCCTTATGCCACATGAACAAATCAAAATCATATTATGGTCCTACCCTAGGGACGAGTCCAAACCCAGGTACCCAACCTCTATTCCTGACCCTAACCAGGTACCAGCTGTAGGTCTCAAGGCATTATCCAATTGGAAATTGTTTGAGCAGAGCCCTGGCAAAAAGTATTAAGGTACACTATAAAACAATCTGGTCACAAATACACTGAATTTGACTGAAGCTTTATCTTTATTTAAACATATAAAAGTCAAAAGAAATGTGAACATTAGTGACTTGTAGTCTAACCATGGGGAACATTAGTGACTTGTAGTGTAACCATAGGGAACATTAGTGACTTGTAGTGTAACCATGGGGAACATTAGTGACTTAAAGTGTAACCATGGGGAACATTAGTGACTTGTAGTGTAACCATGGGGAACATTAGTGACTTAAAGTGTAACCATGGGGAACATTAGTGACTTGTAGTGTAACCATGGGGAACATTAGTGACTTGTAGTCTAACCATGGGGAACATTAGTGACTTGTAGTGTAACCATGGGGAACATTAGTGACTTGTAGTCTAACCATGGGGAACATTAGTGACTTGTAGTGTAACCATAGGGAACATTAGTGACTTGTAGTGTAACCATGGGGAACATTAGTGACTTGTAGTCTAACCATGGGGAACATTAGTGACTTGTAGTGTAACCATGGGGAACATTAGTGACTTGTAGTCTAACCATGGGGAACATTAGTGACTTGTAGTGTAACCATAGGGAACATTAGTGACTTGTAGTCTAACCATGGGGAACATTAGTGACTTAAAGTGTAACCATGGGGAACATTAGTGACTTGTAGTGTAACCATGGGGAACATTAGTGACTTGTAGCGTAACCATGGGGAACATTAGTTACTTGTAGTCTAACCAATGGGAACATTAGTGACTTAAAGTGTAACCCTGGGGAACATTAGTGACTTGTAATCTAACCATGGGGAACATTAGTGACTTGTAGTGTAACCATGGGGAACATTAGTGACTTGTAGTGTAACCATGGGGAACATTAGTGACTTGTAGTGTAACCATGGGGAACATTAGTGACTTGTAGTGTAACCATGGGGAACATTAGTGACTTGTAGTGTAACCATGGGGATCTAGATAATTTTGTCATAAAATAATAAATCTCATGACTAACCATTGGTCTGGGTGGACCTGTGGGTACCCAGGTCCTACTCCGTACCCACGTGTCCCGGCCTTATCCTACACATATTCATAATATTTCAGATTTCTAAGTATTGGGCATCATAAAAAAAGATTCTTAAGGGGTTTCAATGTCGAAATATTACCATTATAGAAAATGTATTCCGGTTTTTTTCCTAGCACAAACAATCTGAATCCCATTGGTTTGCTACACATCATATCAAGGGTTCATATTCCAAGCTCCCGGCTAATCCCTACAGCTGTTTCAGTGAAAAAGTCAAAGTCAACATACAGTCAGGTAAACGACAGATAGACAGACGACATGCTTTGCCACTAGCTCACTCGAACCTTCCATCCAGGTGAGCTAAAAACTGTTAGAAACAAACAGCCACTCATGCTGGGTATAGCATGCCTGAAAATAGAAACAAACTACAACTGGTATCCATAACCTCTGGATCCATAGTCATAATACAGGAACATATCCTGTGGTGGCGGTGGCACTGGTGGGGTTGTCACTGGACATCCTGGCGCTGGCTGATGCTGGCTGCCTCGTAGAGATGCTAAAAAACATAACCTGACACTTAGCATGCTTTCATTCAACTACTGCTTGCTTCAATTTGTAACCATAATTAAACTGTTCTGTTACATTATCTGCAGGCATCTTCAACAAGCAATCCATTTTCAACCCATGAAATAATATCAACAGGAAACACATCAATGACTGAATTAACTGTTCTAATGATAATAAACAAGTCCTATGCTTTCGGTGTCTTATCGTGTCAGACACTCAATTACCTTCTGCCTTAATATTTCCAAATTTAGATAAGACACTTATACCTGGAGCAATAATAATTCATTATTAATTCAAACAGGCAAATACGATCAAATACAGACTTCACAAATATACTCCTCAAAATAGAGAAATGCATAGAAGATACCGGTATTGATAATATGAAAGTTATTTAACAACTGACTTTCACTTAGTCAGCATTCATTGGATTATGAACCTTCATAGAGTGAGGGCCAAACTATATGAATGTTGGAGCTTGTGTTTTGTTCACTAGGATAGGTTGTTGTGAGAATATTTGAGTTGTTCCAATGTATGTAAAACTTTGGGATTACATTGTCGAAGTGATCAGCTGAAACAATTCTTTACATATTCATCCTTTGGAATTTCCCATGGTTTCCTCTGCACAGTGGGAATCATGAAATTACTGAGTCACCAAAACAATGCGACTGTTGACACCTAGCCCAAAATGTGTCATAAAATCATTGTGATTAGCCTTGCCTTGAACTATAAAAAATGATATAATATCAAACAATGATGCCAAGAATAAAGAACTAGAATTCTATGATACAGAATGGGGTTACAGCAGTTTGATTGAATAATAGCATTTGCTCTCTTCACAAAACTCCAACTGTTTGACATGTGATTTAACTCCCATGAAATCAAAGGCAGGAAATTCAAAATAAGGCATATCCAAATAGATCAGTGATGACGATTGTACAGGTTCCAAGTCTTGTTAAAAAAATGTGCAATCTTTTGAACATAAATAAGCAGTACTATATATTCACCACGGCTGCTGTTACTGGACCTTTTCAACTATATGGGTGAGTAGTGTTTAGCTTGTAATTATAAGATCATTTTACAAGGTTACAAAGCAAAATGACGACTATCATAACTGCTTTTTCAACTAGTGTGAACAAACTGACTACACTTGTCACAAAACTTCGGGAGAAGAACTGTCTAAATGAAATGTCAACTTCATTGTTTATTATGATTTCTGTAATGCATGTCATAGTTTCTGAGAACAAGCGTCAACCTAAGATGACAAATTGCCCCGGCCCCCATAAATTTGAAAGAATGAATCATCTGATTGTTACTTTAAGTCCAACTTTTATCATAGAATTTCTATCTAATCCGTCTGTCAGTATACAAGTGTAAATATTGAGCAATCAAAACTATACCATGGAATTGGGATTCGGAACTTTGTATTTCTGTGTCAGGTACACACCTTAATGAACTGAGACAGAATCAAATTTGTGGCCATGGAAACGGAAAAAACATAAATTCTTAAAATACCTAATTAGCTGTTTTAGTTGACAACCAGGATTTTATGTGTGCAGGGGCATGGGTGGCCCAGTTGTCTAAGGTTTGTCAGCATCATACCCGTGCTCGTGGGTTTCACCGAAGTGGTAAACGTCTGAGACCTACATCACTTTGTGCTTTCCACCCACATTAAACCCAACTCACTCACTTTGTGTGTGCCTAGTTACATGAAAGAATACCTATTAGATTTAGAGATATGGTCCGGACAAACACACCACTATGAATCAAAGTAAAACTTGTTGCATTGGAAACAGGAAAAACTAAAAAAAATTAAATTCCTAAATAACAAAGGGCACCACTTAAGCCCTTGTTTGATTTAAGCAAAGATGTAAAGATATAGATCAGAAAACTTGGTTAAGTAAATGAAAAACATTTGCCAAACTTACAATGTATTCACAAATTAAACCATGCATTGTATTAGAAAGATATTTAACATCAATACCTGTTAGAGTATATCAATTTGCTCTTAATTCTTTCCGTTGCTCTAGCCATAACCTAATGCTTGAAGAAGGTAGAAAAATTGGTCTTTCTAGAGATGAAAGTTTATGTCCATTTTGAGTAGTCCGTGTAATTGAAACTGAATATCATTTCTGCATTGAATGTCAATTTTACTCAGATCTGAGAAATAGTCTTATACCTATAAGTATTGCCATTCACAACCTTCATTTGATAAATTTTGCACTCTTATGTCTTGCCAAAATGATTAGACATGTTATTCATAAATTAGCTAAATATATTTTTCTTGCTTTCAAGAAACGACAAGTTTTTCAAATGTATGCAAAGATTCAATTGTTTCACTATGTATATCACTTATATTATCTGGCGCCTGCTATTGTTGTAATCCATTGTATCCAAATTGTACAACGGGCCGGTGGCCTCTTTACTGAAATAAACTCACTCACTCACTCACAAGTAAGGTAAACTTGAAGAAAACTAAAGTTATGGTAATCAGAAATGACGAACCCCTTAGACATTATGAAAAATGGGAATTTAATAGTGTATATATTGAAACTGTGTCATTTTATAGATATTTGGGTATTGTGTTCACGCTTAAACTTGTTTGGACTAAGGCACTAAATACTCTTACTGCACAGAGTAACAAGGCCATTATGACATTATATAGATATAAAAAAAAAGTTGGTAATATACCCTGTCAAGATTTATTTAAGATATTTGATGCTATGATCATTCCTATTGTCTGTTACGGTGCAGATGTATGGGACATCTCATATTGAAGATGTACAGAATAAAATGAGTAAATGGCTTCTAAATACAGGTAAAACAACAAACAATGCAATGGTTTTAGGAGAGCGCGGTAGAACCCCTCTCCAACTTGTGTATACCACAAGGGCCATCAACTATTGGTGCAGGCTACTGCGTTTGGACGAGCATCGACTGCCTCGCCAATGCTATTTAATGCTCAATCACTAGACCATTCTGGTCACACCACATGGGCTATTCACATTAAGAATATTTTGTCTAAATTAGGTTTTGGATATGTGTGGTTAACACAAGATGTGAAGATATTTATTCATCTTTTTAAACAAAGATTATTTGATAAACTTCAACAATCATGGTGTAGTTCTATCAATAGTATATCTGATACCTTTTATTATAAACATTTTAAATCCTTGTTAAATGTAGATAAATATCTTACACTCCCCATACCAGTACATCTGAGAATATCTATGACTCGTTTCAGATGTAGCAAGTTTATATCTATATAAAGTCCAACGGCCAAGAGAAACTTAAATCGATTACTTCCCTGGCATAATGAACATCTGCCAGTATAAAGGGGACTTCTGTTGAAAATCTGAATGTTTATTTACAGTGTGCTGACAGCCAAAATACACAATTATGGCAAAGATGTAACAGAGGTTTTATATTCGCAGGAATTATTTGAGTTTACATCAGATATACCACCCAGAATTTTGGTTTCATTCATTCAATGTCAAAACCAATCTAATACTAAACAACACATATACTAATATAATCTACAAAACACGATGCAGAGAACTGAAAAAATAATGCTGATGTTAATAACAAGAATAAAGAATACATCATCATGTGTTAGATGGAAGGATCCAGGAAAGCAGTACCTTCAAGTGCTCCTTGAGGGCCAGTGGAGCTGTAGCAATCTGGAACTGAGTGAGCAAGTGGGACCAATGAAAGAGCAAAAATGAAAACATCAGCAATGTGGGACTGATCAACCATGGAAAGCTGATGCATCATGCTAGATACTGAGCAACCAGTCATTAATTGATGAAGTAAATAGCAACACTGCACTTCCAATGTTTGATAGAAGTATATCAGAATTCCTGCAACGAAAAAAAACTTATAAATGTTTTGAGTGTATGACAGTTAATAGAAAGTTCATGTAAAAAGTTCCCCATAGCACAGAAACATTAGGAGTTTTACGAGGCTAAGTCTCTCCGCAACAGGACTTCTTCAGGAAAACCATATTTTAAATATATTTCTCATATTTTTGGAAACTTTATATTCATCTTCAAAGATTTTAGATATTGTGATAAAATATTGAAAGGTTTCTTTTTTATAATTACAAATAATGAGAATGGTGATGTTAATTGATGATTGATAAATGCTGAAATTCTATCCAGCAAGTGATATTCATGTTTCTGTAAGTTTTTTTTAATTTCATTGCTCTGTACTATTCAATATGATGTAACACAGAGTTAGAGGTAGAGCTTACTAAATATATGTCATTGTAATGTGTTTTGAAGAAGGAATAACACTGCTAAATAATTTCTCTGTTTATGTAATTAAATAATGATATTCCCGACAAATCAAATGCAAATAAACAACACAATACTGGGTCTCCTTTTATCTGACTGAATTTCCCGATCGACATTTGTCAAAACAGATATGTGGTAGATGCAACGCTTGTGATAGAAATTGTTTCCTTCAACACTCATAGTCAGTACTTGAAGTACTAAATGTGATGGTTCCAGAGAAATACTTGTGCTATATTGTTTTCATTGTTTGCATTGTAATGAAACAAGAAAACTAAACAAATACCAAATTTGGTTACATTGACTTTTTCAACATGGTTGCCATTGAGAATTTGACTTGCCAATGTCAAGGTTCATGACATCACGTACTGATGCTGGAACAGTGGGGTAGCCTTGTGGTTAAAGTGTCCACAGTTTCAATTCTCACATTTCTGACGTCCCCACTGTGATATTGCTGGAATATTGCTAAAAGTGGTCAAAAGCCATACTCACTCACACACTGATGCAAAGGCAGATATGTAATTTGGTATGGTTTGAAATCTATAGCAAAGCATTCCTTAAACTCTCAAATGATGAAATAAATCCGTAATCAAGGGGACAGAAAAAAGCCTGCTGTCCGAGTCTGTTGTTCTTTTTCCACTTATAAAACTTTGTCCAATTGAGAATTGTAGACAGCTGCTGTATATTCCCTGTGAACTTTAACAACAGCCTGGGACACTTGGTCTGAAAATCCTTCTGAAGTAAAGGATCGCTATATAATTTCCAAGCATGAAAATGTTGGATGAAGATTCCAATGAAATCTGTCTGAAAATGGATGACACAGAAGAGTTTCAGAGGAAGGTCTACTGGAAGCTCTCTGAGAAGAGGATACCAAGTCTTGGCTGGTATCAGATAGAGCATGACGTTGTACTGAAGAATATTCTGAAGTAAGTCATGTATGTCTGGATCAATGTCAAATCTGTTGCTTTACTTGCTCGTGAAACTGCTTTATGTTGACTTCTAACACTTGCTTCTCAATGTTTCTGTGATGCATTTGCATGTAGTTTGAATTTACAAAAGGTGCTCCTATCAACACATGCTGCACAATCTGTGGTTGCAGCCACCAAGTGAGGTCTTGACAAACCTCCTCAGATGGAGTTATCGGCATCTCTATGACTTGTTGGCGATGAATATATATATACCTGAGATGAAATCTTACCCTGAGAGTTAAGCTCTGCATCAAACTGAGCTTTCTGAGAAGGGACATCCATTGTTGAATTGATGCTGTAGTTTTATGCAGAATGTGACGGGTAGGATCCACTGCTGTTGTGTTGAGAATTAGACACTGCTCTGATTTACTAGGTCTTCTGAGTGAGGACGAATTGTGACATCTTTGGATGCACTAGAAATCCCAAGGCACCGAATAATAGAATAGTCTTTGACAAGTCGTACCTGTATCTGATTGGCTGATATAGTATCGCTCAACAATTCCTTCATCCTGATCTGACAACTGTGGGTGAAAGATGAGATCAGGCTCGTGATATAACCATGGTGCTACAGATATTCAGAATGGTAGAACTTGGAGAACTGGAATCTCCTCCCATTGAAGACAAACCTGAAGTATTTGTGACATGAGGGATGAATTGGTAAGAGAAGGTAGGCATCTCTAAGATCTAGATTAATAAAGAAGTCCTTGAATCTTAACACTCTCTTGAGCTGAAGAAAATCATATTTGAATAAAGAACTGCCTGTCCTCTAGGCCAATAAAATTCATCCCAAAGCAGTTCTCCCTCAACTTCTGCAGTACTCTGTGTAGTGGTGTTCAGTTCCGAAATAGCCCAAACTGAACCTTTTTCGATGTATGTCAATTACCAAGAAAAAGTTTACAATGTTCATTATCAAAACCACATTTAAAGACAATTAAAAAGCATGAACAAAATATGGTCAAAATTGGCAAAAATAACATCTGCTTTTCAAAAAATGTTTTGAACAAATTGGGGTGTCATCATCGGTGAGGACAAACACGAAGTTTCAGGTTCATTGATCATGCGGTTTCTGAGGAGATGATGTACCAATATACCAAATTTCATTCCAATTTGAAAGAAAATGGCTGAGTAATGGTGAAGTAATTTCAGCTTTCAGTATGATTAAAGTGCAAAGGACAAATCAACAAATGATCAAGATGAAAATGTTAAATATAACAAAACAAGGAACATGTGTTCATCCTCACTACTAACTACATATGTACCATATTTCATATACTGCTTTTTCCATATGGCTGCCGTGGTGGCCATATTGAACATCAGTTTCAATCTCTTTAACTAACTCGGGTGTCATCATTGGTGGAAAAAAGTAAGTGAAGCTGCTGCTTCATTGGTCCAGCGATCACTGATGACGGAGAACTGACTATGGACTAACAGACCATGACTGAGCTCACTTAAGTGACAGCTTAGTTGGTGTCTCAGGCCCAAAGCCTAAATTTTGTCCTCACCATAAATAAATCTGACGACCATAGGTCAGGGTGATTAGTTTTCCTTATTACCTGTTTCTGTCCATGGTTAAAGGTACATCATCTGCTTTCTGTTCAAAATATCACAAACAATTTGTTTACATTCTGCTATACTTTCATTCACATTCTCAGATAAACTGTAGATAACCACATTAATTTTCCTGCTATATGGTTCCTGTTGTTCAATTCCATTCTCAGTCTCTTATAGTCCTTCCTCAAGTTTCTTCAAAACTGTTTCGTTACCTAGTCTTTCTTCTAGTTTGCTTAACCTTGATGCAACTCTCGCTGCATCAAATGTGTTAAAGCCTGTGTTACAACTACTTCCCATGCTTTTGATTGTCCTTTGGGGCTAGGACAAGGCTGTGTTTTAAGTCCGCCATTGTTCACTTTTTTCATAAATGAATTGGCAATTGAAGAAGAAGCCTCCTGCAAACCAGGTATCCAGTTCCATCCTCAACTTGTACAGTTATTTTTATTATTATTTGCAGACGATGTTATCTTGATTTCTGAGACAGTGTGTGGGCAACAAAGATGCATCAATGCTTTAAAACATTTTTGTGATAATTACCATTTGTGTGTTAATTTGGATAAGACCAAGGTCGTTTTTAAGAATGGAGGAATTTTATCTGAGCATGAGAAATGGAAGTATGATGAGCAACTGCTTGTGTGTCTACCTTCATATAAATACTTAGGATTAACGTTTACTAATTCTCTATCATGGTCCAAACACGTAAAAGAAGCTTGCTTGAAAGCTAAAAAGATTATAAATAGTGTTTTTAAATGTTGGTCAATACTTAAACCATTACCATTTCATTTATTTTTCAAAATATTTGACACAAAGATAAGTCCAATTTTACTTTATGGGGCAGAAATACGGGGTGTAAATCTTAATTATGTGAAGAAATTGAAACTGTACATATGTTGGCCTGTAAGGTTTGTTAGAAAATGCTATATTTTGTTACTTAAAACTGCGCACAATGGTAAAACAAGCTGGGCCTCTAAAGTTAGACAGCTATTATTATGTTCAGGTTTTGGATATCTATGGGAACAGTCAGTTCCAAACTTATCAATATTTTTGTCATAATTCTTTCAAAGATTGAAATTAGCATACACTGAGGATTGGCATGGGACGTTAACTGATAGCACAAAATCATATGATTACACAATGTATATATTTAACCTCAGTTTAGATGCAGTTCCCATCGCCTAAGAATCGAATCAGGAAGATTTACTAAAGAAAGAGAGAAGATAGAATTTGTGTTATTTGTAAAGAGAACTACATCAAAGAGGTGTAAAACATATGATGATCCTAGAGCCCAATCAATAGCACCAACATATTATACCTATGCTACAAGACACAAGTTTAATGTATTAATGTTATCCACTAATGAAAACACCATAAAAAACCTATTGCTGTACATATATAAACCACTGTCTATTAGAAACAAACTGGCACCATGAGTCTCCAACTCCCTATCTGTATTACCATGTATCATGGGCCTATGGCCTACAAAACTGAATGAATAAAGTTGATTGATTGATAATCAGTTTTGCTGATTAATCCTGACTAAGTCACTTGATTACCTGTGTTCAAAACACAAGGTTTCGGTGTCATTGGGGATGTCAAATTATCAAATTCCACAATAGATTAAGCTCTTAACATCTTGTGATAAAAAAGAGCAGAGTAAGGTTATAAGAAGATGGATGATAGATTATAGAAGATAAATGAAATAGTTTGCTTGGTACACATTAATAACAGGCACCATGCAAAGTAATGGGTTATGATTTTGAAACTGAACAGCAGGAATTGGGATTTCACACACATACAGCACCCAGTTATCTACCTCGAGCCATCACACTTCTACCAGCATCACTATCAACTACTATGGTGTAGGGAGATGCACTTAATGGCTGCTGCTGGATATGCATAGTGCTGCTAAATTCCTTATGGGGAACTTTGGAAGGCCATCTCTTCGATGAAACAGCAAGTTGATTTACACACGATGAAGCTAGAAATAATTAGGACAATAACACAGAACACATAATCTGGAGCAGAATATTATAGTACAATGGACAACCCTGGAGCAATAATAAAACCTGCACTCAGTTTCAGCTCTACAGCTGCAGAAAGGACAAGGCACATTTTGGCCCACAGAATCTGCATAATTAAAGACGTGAGGAAAACGTTTAGAAAATGTTGTGAAATTATCAGATGTGCTCATATGAATGAGAATATGACCTTGTTCATGTCAGCACTTGTAAATTTTGAAATGAAACTAGTTAAGGCTAAAATGTGTCAATAATGACAATTTTCAAGGTTCTTTGGAAGTTTTTCTAATATTTTGAACATAAGCAAGTCTTTGACCAAAGCTTACACTCTCAGGAGGTCAAGATAAAGACAAGAGAAGCAATATAATCCAAATATGTAGACAACAAAGATGGACCATTAACAAAAGTTGTTGTCAGTATTGATTCAAATATTTCCTGAAAAAATACCGAGGACCATAAACTAACAATAAATTCTAGAGATTTGAACAAAATATGATGTAACCAAAAGAAGATGAATATGGGCAACAGTTTGGGTTGTCACGTCTGGAGATGTTGTTGGTGAAAGTAAATGCATTTTAAGAAAATTTAAGTGCATGGTTGAAGTGCAAAGCTAAAATCAAGGCAAGACAAAGAATACGAAAATTTGTGTTCAGTTCTTCTATTTACACATATACAAAATTTCATTATTTTTTAAAACAAAATACAGAGCCAAAAGCTTATTGCTCAGCAGACGTATGAAGAAATTTTAAGATGGCTTCATAGGAAGGAACCTGCATGTCAAATTTCGGCTTCATATGTCAAGCATTAAAAGAAAAGATATATAAGTGCAAAAGTCTTTCAACTGCAAACAGTGTCCGAATTAATGAAGGTCACAGTTCCCTAGCCCTTGCCTCGATTGCAGAAGCAATGGCTTTTTGGCTTTAAAAATCCAAGGGGTAACTGACACACTAGTCAAATTTGTCAAAATGCAGGCCCGCCATCCCTTGATAGTTTTGGTCTGCTTGAACTTGTTTTGCTACTTTCTCCAGAGTCAAAAGATGTAGGATGGTGAAATGTTGCATGGACCATTGTACCAACAGCCTTTCCACATTGACATGGTATTGTCAGAAATACAAGACTGTGAATTCAGATTATCGATAGAAGACCTTAGCCCTGTCATCTTCTCAGCCAATAATTAGTAATCTATTATGATCCCTGTCTTTATATTAGCAGTGGGAATTCCTCCCCACTAGAATCAGGTAACAGGTAACTAAACTGTATGAAGTGTTTCATCATTATTCAATAATTTAAAAGCGTTTAGAAACATTTACAATGCAAACGTTTTAGATTTAAAAATCTAATGAGAAACACCAACACCAAGGACTTCCAAGACAAAACATGTTAGTTCAAATATTAAGAGAATTGTTTTTCATGATACATTGAGCCTTGTTGGACCATCACTTAGAAGATTTCAAAAAGAGAGTTTGGACAAAAAATATCACCAAATTGAGCATTTTGTTACTCCAGTAAGAACATAAATCTATTAAGTTTTATGTCTCTTTTGGTAGAAATATTAGTTTGGTATAGTTGTTAATTCTTTATACAGAATATGTTACTCATATAATTATTATATGGTGATATATAGTACAGCAGTCAGGACTTTTGAAGTATTTCATATACCCATGTTTGTTATTACCATGCTCTGCTGTTCATGCTCCGACATGATTCATATAAATAAGACATGTCTCATAAATAACACAGGAATCATATGAATGATATCAGCTATCATAAAAAAAGACATGTATCATATAAAACATGGCATAGATGTTGCGTATACAGAAAAATCATTTGCCATATATGCAAGACATCTTTCATAGTTGAAGCTGCCTCTTTATTCCTTGGTCACATATCATGATTGACTGGTAATGCTTAAAAAAAAAGAAGTTTTGGTTCTCAGGCACTGCCCTATTCATCATAAAGTACACCGCACGTTTCGCTTTTATTCCATATATCTTAGCTAGAAAGAAATTTCAAAACAGGGATAGTTAGACCGAAGACGTACCTCTGACGACTAATGTTCATTTCAAGTTGAGCTCATGTTACACAATAAACACATTTATAACCAGATAGTGTAATAACAGGACTAACTTAAGTACTTCAGTATGGATTTGTTGACATGCTTCTTCAGGGGTTGTGTGCTGATGATAACGTTTTGACGTTGTGCAATAAAACGATACTCCGACCATATTCAAATACTGTATTCCAGTATTTTACTCATCAAGGAATACATTTATGTAGGGAGGTCCTTTCCCAGGTTGATTGTAAACATTTGTTTATTTGGATACATACCAGTTTGAACAACAACAACAAAAAATATTTACAAGAATATATAGATGCAGGCATGATGATCAGGCTCCATGGAATACCGAAATATAATGGCGGATCTGGGTCTACATTTATGGAAATTGATTCACAACATCTCACTTTGGTTATACAGAGAACTAATACAAAGAATAATAGGGCTCTATAGTCCGAATAAAAGTCTGTTATTTTAGCAATCTTAGCCGTTTTGACCCCTGGATTGGGCAGCTGGACTAAAGACATTTCAAAACATCAAGGTCATGGGTCAAGGTAATTTAGGTAGCCCGCCACAAGAAGAAAATACTTTTTTGGGTGAGCTATGACGCAGCTGTACTTGCCTCTGAGGTTGAAGAAATTGGTGTTAATGTTTAGCTCCTATCTATTGTATCATACCAATAAGTCAAATTTGGCGAAAACTATGTCCAACGTCCATCTGCTGGTCTGTCTACAAAACATTGGTTTGTTATTTACTGTATCTACATCTTCTGTGAAAATCGCCTCATTCTAACATCAAATTTGGTTTCCATAGCAACGTGACGAAAAACATCTTCAATCAAAGATTGGATCCAAACGATTGGATTTATCAAATTTGAGGGCGGATCGAAAATGATCAGCATCTTATGACAGCGTTACAGGAGAAATCTTGAAGCTATTGGGCTAATAGTGTCAGATATTGAACAATGGTTATCATTGTTAATAATTCTAAGAATACTACCTCTATTAGATCTTTGTTATAAACCCTGTATTTTGGCTTCAGTCACACTTCCTAAAATTTTCAGATTTTCAACAGACGTCTTCTTCTCTGTCAATCACACAACTAGTTGTTCCCCAAATAGCATTGTAACCAATCAAGCTGTGATGTATGCAATGGCGGGAATGTCACTTCTTCCCACATCTAACCACTAGAAGCAGAAGATATTGGGGAGGTGGGTGAGAGTACTTCCGATGTAATAGAGGTAGTATTCTAAGAAGTATTAATAATGATAACTATTGTTCGATAATTCTAATGAAACTTCTACCTCCATCTTTGCCAGAATATATCAGAGGGACCCGGTGGGATCTGCCTCTAGTAACTCCCTGTGTAATTGAGAGTATTCTCTTCTGGAAACGATTATTCTCTGATTCTAATCCTAACTCAAGATAATTTGACTTGAAAATCAGAAAAGTCTCAAGAATCAGTCAAATATATGATATGTGATACTTTCACAGTGATTTCGGGTTTATTTTCACCCAGTGACGTCATTTCTTGTTGAAGTCACTTCCGGTTTGTCACATCTTTTATTGGACAATGGCGTCTCTCTATTTTTACCAAAGACGTCATTTCCTGATTAGGTGACCTTGTACTGCTATTGCTGGTGCTGACATCACTTACAGTTATGACATCACTTCCGGTGATGATGTCACTTCCGGTCACTGGAGCAGTTATATCTCAAGGTGATCCTAATCCATCCTACATGTAATAGACAGGATAAACAAGGGTGTACTCACACTCTGATGCTGCTGGTGTCGGATTGGTGGACAATAGTTTGCGCTGCAACGATGGGCCCCAGGGAAAGTATGATGGTCCTGCTGAACACCACACAAGTAAAAGCTAATGAAGGTGTTCTGTGAGGCCCACTGACAGCCAGAAACCACTTGTTCTACTGAGACTGATGTCCATAAAGCGAGACAAGTGGCTAGGGCTCTTATCTCATGTGCTGAACAGGATCCAAAACGTGGTGTGGAATTCTGTGCTTGTGTCTAACTCTCTGTAACGGTAGTTTTAAGCCATCCCGCAATTGTAGCCTTGGTGATGTCTTTCTTTGTTGGATATCTTTCAAGATATAAAAGTCTCATTTGATGACGTCTATGAGGGTCTGTAGCCGTGAGATGGAACTTTAGAGCTCTGATGGGACATCAAAGTCTGTATGGGCAATCCACTGTTGGTCCCAATGCAGGAAAGGTATAGTGTATTACCTAACAGTCCCAATGTGGTAGATTGATTCTTGGCTACAAAATCTGGGAGCGATCCTAGAGTGATTGAGGTCCATTGTTGATCATGAATAAGACTAGAATAATCCAAGGCATGGAGTTCTGAAACTCTAGCTGCTATCGCCCTGGCTAGGAGGAAGGAGGATTTCCTGGATTTTGGGAGTAAGGTGGCCTTAGCCATGGGTTCGTAAGGTGAAGTCAGAGGGATGCCGTTCATCACATGTTCTCTGCGAGTCCACCATAGCAGGTCTCATAAGTTGGTAGGTAACTGAGTTTTGAATTCTAAGGTCTGGGATCGTAGTGAATTGATCCATGTCTGTAGAGGACGTAGCATCAGCCTTCCTCTGAAAGTCATATCCTGTAGACACGTTAAGTTGCCTAGAAGAGTGACTTGCTGGGTTGACTTGATAGTGATTGAATCATTGGTGGACATAGATATCCCTTGTTTAGTTGGATTCTTGCTCCGATGTATATGATGTCTTGAACCGGAATGGTCTCAGACTTGGAAGGATTGATTAGGAAGCCTAGGTTTGTCATAGGTTGGACCTAGAATATCATGTTCTGGTGTAGCTGAGCTTCCTCTTGGTCTGCAGCCAGGAAATAGTCCAGGTATCTATAAACTCGAACTAGCTGAAGATGGGCTAACTTGATAACAGGCGCTGTAACTCTGGTGAATAGCCAAGGGCTATCGACATCCCGAACGGTAAGACCTGGAACTCGTAATGTCAACCATTGATCGCGAAGTGTAGATATTTGTGTGACGATGGGTGTATGGGAACGTGAAGATAGGCATCTGTAGATCAAGGCTGATAAGCCAGTCTCCTGTCTTCAATGTCAACCGTAACTTCTGTACGGATTCCATCTGGAAATTTGGCGGAGGTACCAGGAATTTTTTGTTGATGATCTTTATGTCGATTATCATCCTCATGTCGGTCGTATTCTTCTTTGGGACTAGGAATTACGATGGCATTACGTTGAAAGATGGTAGGCGTAAATCGCAATCCATAGACATAACCAGGTCGAAAGGGTCTATAAAATAGACATGGGTGGCAGGAATTCAGAATCTGCGTTCACCTCTGCCAGCAGATTTTCCATGGCAATGGGATCCTCGTTTCTTGTAGTCTGGTGGACGAAAAGATTCCTGAGAAGATTGGCGCTTGTCGTACCCCCAACTCGGTTGGAAGGAATCCTTCCTGGAGGGGACAAACTTCTTTTTAGGAGGCTGTTTGTATGACAAGTCTTTCTGGTCCCAGGAACACTCCATGAGCCTTGGCAGCTAGGCTGATAGTTGATCCTTGGAATCGTTCCGTTGTATCTTGTCTGGCTTCCTCTATCACATGTCCCAATTTCCCATTGAATGTCGTGGGAGCTGATATGGGTTGTGACATTATCAACCTCTTTGTTTGGTTAGAAACGACTTTAGAACGAATCTGAGCTAGGAGTTGTTGACACTGCATCGATAGTAGCTGTAAAGACATCAAGGCTTGGGGGAGAGTTAGTCTTCCTGCATTCTTACAATAGTATATATTTGGCTGTGAATGACTCTGACTTGATCAGTTCTTATAGTCATAGGCGTGTCTCAGGTTATGCCTTCATCAGATGTCTGTAATGGTGGAATGATGTGTCTGATTCCAGCGACAAACCAGTTGATATAAGCGCCAATGTACACAGAATATCTGGAGACCAATGACAGATCATTAATCCGCGAAGCTGGTAACATGACATTAGTACTAGGGTTGCGTACTAGCTCTAAGAAATTTCATCCAAACTTGGATAATCCGGAAGTGGAGCATCACATGTCTTGTATAAATTCCCTTTCAATGGCAGTAAGGGTAGTTGTTCCTCATGTCTAAGCTTGAGCAGATTTTAAGACATCTAGTCTACTACCTTGCCTGCATAACTCGACCAAGGTAATGTCTGGTGGATGTGTTGAGAGGATGTCAGAGCATGACATCCCCCATGTTCTGGCATCTCAGGTGGTAAATTTTCTGTCAGTACTGACATGAGGTGATATAATTCCTCGATGAGTTCTACAAACATATATCCCCCCCGTAAAATCAGCCGTCGTCAGCCTGATTGATATCTTCATAGTACTCTGCTTCCACCTCCGGGTGACCGTTGGTAGCTTCCGTGGGCGGTGGATAATCATGGTAGGCCACGTGATCCCTGTGCGGTTCATCCTATGCCGGTGTCCAGGCTTCCGGTATGATTAAAGTCTGTGCGGCTTGTGATGGCTGCCCGTGAGTAACGAGTCCCGTATGGTCGACTACATGCTGTAGCCGTGTGGTGTCTTAATGGTAAGGTGGATGGCCGGCCGGCTGGGTTATCCTGGAGTTCGTGCGGCAGCCGTATGGTGTCTTAACGGTTGGCTGTGTGGACAACTGGTTGGACAGTGCCGTGTGGGCTGTGTGGCGACCGTATAGTGTCTTGGCTGGGGAGTTTGGCCTTGTGGTACCTTGTTGGGACCCTAGCGAGGATCTAGCTATCTGTGTATCACAGTAGGGAAAAGCCTGCAGACTTATACCCGGGTGGTCAGTCGGCTGGCTGTACGGCTGATCGGTTCATTGTACTGGCTGGTTGGTGAGCGGGATAGTTGTCTGGTCGGTTCAGTCGGCTGGGGTAGGCCCTACGGATGTATGTGTTGCAGAAGCAGATGGCTGTCCATGCGGTCTCTTGGCCTAGAGAATCTTCTTAGCCAGAGCTGCCTGTCTTATCTTCTCCATTTCTTCGTTGATTTGTGAGAACTTAATCTCCTATGTGATCAGCAACTTTGCACAGCGAATCGCGGCGCCTTAGGCGACTGGGCCACCCGTGCCCCCCAGTTTTATAGAAAACTATTTGAATAATCTTAGATAAATGTGACTAACTACCAAGCGCTAGATCGTTAAAACTACATAATAAGTGTAGACTCCAGCCAACACAAGGAAAAAGTGAAGTTCCCGCAATTGCATATGTTATAGCTGGATTGGTTACGATGCTATTTGGGAACAACTAGTTGTGTGATTGACAGTGAAGAGGACTTCTGTTGAAAATCTGACAATTTTAGTTAGTGTGACTAGAGCACAAATACAGGATTCATGGCAAAGATGTAATAGAGGTAGTAGTTGGTAGTAAAAAGGCTGCCAAACAAATCATTTCTTGACAAGCAGCTAAAAGCATGAAATGTTCAGCTGCTGATGCCCATTTGTAGTACTTTCTCTGAAGAACCTGTGTAGATACATCGTTTGCACAGTAATTTCAATAGAAACTACTAAGATCCATCATGGCCGCCAAACAAATCACATTTTCACATTCATCTATGAACAAAACATGTTTACCATATGTTTTCTCCATAGTGCTAATTTCCAATCATTTTTTCAAAAAGTAATGAAGATTTGATTTTTCAAAGAAAATTTTAAGAGAAAATCTACATCAGAAGCAAACTCCAATATGTCATTAACTTATCAAGGTATCTCAAAACAGTTAGAATATATTGATGTTTGAACTATGGAGACAATATCTGCAAATTTTGAAAGTCTGCAGCTGATACAAGCAGATAAAACGATTGTGGAAGACAACAAAAATGACAAATCTGCTATGAACATGTTCAATCCAATATGGCCACCACATCACATGACATTTCACATATGACCAGGAACAGAACTCCTTCAGCAACCAAAGCAATATATGACAGAGGTTCTTCAAGTTCTTTACCTGAAAAATTTCCAATGCAAGAATTTCCTAAAGAGGTCGTGCCAAAAGTGTGAAGACAATTTGCCTAAAGTTGGACTCAATATGGTGGCCATGGAAGACATATCTGTTTTCTTATAACTTTGCAGAATGGTGCACGGACAAAAAGTATGGAATGTTTGGAAGTGTATGAGCAGATAGTTTGCACATTTGAGGAACAGGTACTGACAAAAATGGTGAAAACACGGCCAAACAAAGCCATTTAGTGACTTTAGACATGGAGGCAAAATTGTTGGGCATCCGATTCCGAAGCTGCACAAGAAAGCACTTAGATGTTTCTGAAATATGAGCTGGTAAACTTGAATTATGTTTATTAATTTTGAAATATCTGCCGTGAGTCCTTGGGCCTAGAGTCTTTTTTTTGGTTGACATAATTTCAGACTCTTGGGGACCTTAGTGATTTTTTTAAGAGCTTTCGGTCACTGGTTCTTGAGTTATGATTGGAAATAAAACCTGTTGAATAATAAATAATAATAGATAAAAATAATAATAACAAACAGAATGATTACAATACCTTTTAGGCATGGAGCCCTAACAACCGCCCACCTGCACTATATTTTCGAAATCCATTGTCTGAGAACCAATTCTTTAATTTTTCAAGCCTAAGAAGTTCTTTTAACCATAAAGAAGATTGCTATTTAGTATTTCACTTGAATTTTTAGTGAAATGAACCTAATTCTGTGTGACATATGTGTTAATTTGTCAAACCTAATTACATTCTGTGTGCTCTGTTCATATCTTAGAAACTTAGATTTGTCACTTCTGTTGCTAGATGACCTTAGCCTTTTAGTCAGATTGGGAAGCCTTTTGGTTCGAGCCTCCCTTGGAAACACAGGGGATCTGGGATCAAATTTCCGCACATCACTGTACATTGTGTCCATCCTTTACAGACACTAGATGGTGCTTTATCTTCAGTATATGAGACAAAATCTTCCATACATTGAAGAATTTTACACATCAAGTATATTGTATATGTTTCATATCCAAGCCACAATGAAACATCTTATTTATATGACCCATGTTTTATTTATGTGAAACATGTCTTACATATAAAATACATCTTATTTATATGATACATGTTTCATATCTATGTCACATGTGCTCTTTATATGAAATATATCTTCTTCATATTAAACATGTCATATTTTTATGATGCATATTCTTTTTATATAAAACATGTCTTACTTATATGAAACATGTGTTATTTATATTTACATTAGTGTCTAAATGTCATTCAAGAAAGATTTTCGTTTATCTACAATGCTGTTTTAAACATTCAGTCACATAATTGGTAACTGTGATGAGAAAGGTGACAAATAAAATCAACTTTGGTCTTGTATTTGAGCCAGTACTCAACCAACAACATGTCTCTAAATGAATGTCACATTTTACACCTTACTAAATATGCCAAATCCTCTGTATCTGGTACATATCTGACATAATTTTAAGGTTGTTACTTCTATTTGGGAAACACTGGGAAACAGGAGCCAATTATCACAGCATGTTTGAACTGAGCCTGCTTAGAGCTTTGAACTCCAAGCCCTTTTATTGATTCCAGAAAGAGAAAGTGTGAAATATTGCAAAATAAGTTGGCTGTTGTACCTGGCTTACAGCTGAATTGGCTCACCTGAGATATGCAATTGTGACATGTCAGGTGGTGGAGGGAAATGATCAGCATGTCCATAGTACCCATCTAGTGGCTTGTTGACTGTCACGGCCTCCCTCACGCCACCAACAGCATGAATAAGCTGTAAGGAAACAATGACAATAAACAGTGTATAAGTACTTCATTTTATAATCTTCAGCCAGCCAATGACCATAATTGGTAGAAAGTTGTACAGGCGAGACCATTCATTTGTAAGTAAATACCTGAATGACAATAGGGCATCATGCAGTAATGCTTTCAAACTTGACAAGAGGTTACACTCGTTTTGGAAAACATGAACTGTTTAACTGTAAAACATCAAACAATAGTTATCATTGTTAATAATTTAAAGAATATTACCTCTATTACATCAGTACCATAAATCTTGTAGTTTAGCTGTCATTACACTATAAAACCTTAAGACATAAGTCCTCTTCACTGACAACTATCCATAATAGGTTGTACAAGTAGTGGTAATTATTACTTGATAATTCTTGCGAATACAAAATCTCTTTTACATCAGTGCTAGAATATACCTGAGAAATCAGTGGATATGGACATCTAATAATACACTGGATAGTTAACAGACTGCTGAATTGTAAATGAAAAAAACAACCAAGCTTCCAGACTCCATCCAAAGTGGGTCTTTTTCTATAAATTCGGTATTTTGGGAGCAACTAATTGCTCCAAACCATCATTCCACATGTAAAATTACATGTGTGGCAGATGTAACCTTTGTACATATTCATTTTGTTATTCTTCAGTGTGTGCTATTTTGTGTTTAACTTCAATGTATGCTTAGTAGCTAGGATAGTGTAAATGTAGTTGAATGTGTCAGTCATGTTACCCAAGCCATGACAAAACCAACTGATTGGCCAAGCTAACCCTCTAAGTTAACCTTTCATCTCACTGCATGTACTCAGTCTGCAAACACTCTCTCAAAAGTTGACAGCACAGGTTAGTTTATTTTGTTTATATATATTTGTATTGTATGCTATTGCATTTGAATGTTGCTATTAAGTAAGGTAACAGTGTTTACTACTATCTAAATCTCAGGTATAATCCGTTTAAGTAAATGTGAAAAACTAGGCTTGTACATTGTAAACTTTAGTTATTACTAATATATAACCTTTCTATCTTTTTATTCTTGTGTATGGATTAGAAAATAGTGTAAGCGTTGTTTTACAGAATAGACTGTGTTTTCAATGCTTTGTGATTAGTTCTGTGTAATATACTGTATGTAATATATAGGAGTAATATAAAGTGCATGTAATATAATGGTATATCTGTATTTCTCGTAATAAAAGTCTGTTTTATTCAGATGTTATTCTGGTTATGTTGAGGCACTGTGGTCGGGAAGACACTACTACCATGAAGTGTCTCAAACAATGTAGTCCGTCCCGAAAGTGAATCGCTGTTAGCAAGCATTAAGTGAGCCCCTCACAGCAGAGCTCTTCATACTGGGAGGGTAACAAGGGTGTCAAGCGTGGGAGTGAGTTTGGACTATAAACAAACAAGGGAGGTCACTCTACCCTACAAGTATTACAATCCATCAACAGAACCCTTGACATTTTGAGCGCCTTATTTTCCAAAGCCCACTGTTAGATAACTGTTGGTCAAACTTTATAAAGTGGCTTTACTCTGGATATTGGGTTGTTTGTAAAGGAAAGAGAAGTAACATAATCACTTACAGATTGATTTGCTTTTCTCCAGTTGCTGCCAGCATTCATATCTCGTGGATTCATGGAAACCACCTTGGCATTCTGTACCATTGGTGTAATTGCTGCAATTCCAAAAGGTGACCAATTAACCTCTTTGGAAGTATGTTATCAGTCAATACTGAAATAGGCACCTTATCCATTGTTGCCCTGACAAAAGTAGGTTTCATGGCCAAAGGCCTTTTACTGATGTGTAATACCAAGGTCCCACTGTACAAGTATGAATGTAAGAGATTCAAGAATGAAAAGCACCACAACATAAAACAAATACTGGAGCCTGTCCACACAGTATGAGTTAGCATGGAAATATCAATATCTGACAGGGTGAGTCATATTGCACATTCTCGTGCAGAGTGTTGGTCACAGGTGTCAAGACTTGCTCATTGGAATTTCCAAAGGGAAGTAAGGAAAAAAAAGAAGTAACACTTGACTAAAGTCTCTGAAATAAAAACATTACACATTATTTGTGGGTTAATTTGTCAATTTTTCAAGTGAAGTAATCTGGACTTGTGTATTAAGTAACGTAGACTTCCTAGTGAGTTAAGTGTTGTTTCTGGGTGTGTATGAGAGTCTAAAGTAAGAATATAGTTAAATATATATGGTCTCCAATGAGAATGACTATTTCTGGGAATCTTTTTGATGAAAAAGTCAAACTATGCTTATTATCACATATAAAGCTATATTTCTTAAAACAATTCTATGTCACAAATAGATATTGTGATTACTAACAATTATGAATTCAGCATGTGTTGCACAAACAATATTCCAACCATATGATGGTGGCATGTAAGTAATAGAGACCAGCCCAGACAAACCAGTGATTGACATGAGGGTTTGATGACATTCATAGAGACATGTTACAGAGCCTGACCACTGGCTTCACTTAGTGACTTTGTACGAGAGGAGAATTGCAGCTTACACTTTCCAGCTAGTTACTGCTCTATCATCAGTTGAGCTATCATCATAATGAATACTTCTTGCCTTCAGTTAGAACTTACTTGCTTTCAGATTTTCTGAAGCGCTGTTCACTCTATCGACAAAGGCAGGGTCCTCACTATTGTCCACTTCATTATGGGCAACTTGCAGAACTCGGTTTGCTCTTCGTGCTATGTTGGAAGCATTGGCAACAATTAATGGGGAGTCATTAGACCGTATTCCATCTTCTATTCTCTCTGTGTCCCGCAGAATTCCTTCCTCTGGAAAGAGATGTATATGTATACATATTCACATAAACTAAAAGGTCTTGGCTTGTTAATAGAAGCCAGTACAACAACAAAATCACCTGGATGCAGTTGATCTCATGCAGCCTTTCGGGACTTTTTGTGGACTCGTTGTGCTGGTTGTGTCAAAACATGTCTAAAAAGTATGCTCATGCTTTATTTGTCTCTGAATCAAAGGCATCAGGAAACCAATGAAACATTCATTCAAGTCTATATAAGTGCCCCTAGATCTAGAGCACAAGGAGCATGAATCATAAATCAAAGGAAAAATGTGCTTTTAATTTACAATGGTGTTATAACAAATTCAGTCATCTGGTCCAGACAGAATAAGTAATAACCTATTAAAGAAAACAGTAAACAGCATTAGTATTGTTTTATGTATGCTGTTAAATCATTCATTGGCTTTAAATGCATATCCAACAGAATGGAAAAGAGCGCATGTTATGCCATTGTATAAGAAAGATCATTCAGTTGTGACAAATTACAGACCAATATCACTTATTAGTTGTATTGGTAAAGTGTTTGAGAGAGTTGTATTTAAGCATCATTATAACTACTTTCATGACAATAAATTGTTATATAGTAGTATAGGTAATAGGGGTTCTGGACCACTTCCACTGGAGCCGGATTCATATACCTATACTGCTACTACAGGTGGCATTTTTTATGCCAAAATGATTATGCGATTCAATGATAGTCATAAGTTGTATTAAACGAAACATCAATATTAAATGATAATGAATAAAATTTACTATAGCCCATGAGGATATTGGAAAGGTGTAGGAGCAATAAAAAAATTAGCCACCGCGGCTAAGGTATCTAAAGATGTGGCCAAGGATTGGTTAAAGAAACAAGCGATGTGGCAAATATACTTACCGGCACCGCGTTATATACCGAGGAAGAAGTTTGATATTTTTACAACGAATGAAGTTCATCAGGCTGACCTCTTGTTTCTTCCCCACGATAAGGTAAAACGCAAAACGTATAAATACGCTTTAACAGTAGTGGATGTGGCTAGTCGATACAAAGAGGCTGAGCCATTAACTTCGATAGATTCAACAGAAGTAGCAAATGCACTGAGTCGCATATATAAACGCGGACCACTAAAATGGCCTAAGCTATTTCAAGTAGATCCCGGTCACGAGTTTATGGGATCGATAACAAAACTGTTAACAAAGCCCAATGTCGAAATCAGGCGTGGTGAAAGAGAGGCCCACCGCAGTCAAGCTATCGTCGAAAGATTTAACAGGACATTAGCGGAACGTTTGTTTGGCTATCAGCATGGGATCGAAATGAAATCCCAGCGATTGAGATCAACCGAATGGGTGACACGATTATCAGCCGTTGTATCAGCGCTGAATAATGAAGTAACGAGATTAATAGGGAAGAAACCATCCGATGCTATTAAAATGAAATCCGTGACTTCCGAATCTTCAGCACCGAGGAGAGGCAAAGAACGAAAACTTCCGGATAGAGTAAGGGTAAGATATTTATACCAGGCAGGTGAACTCGAAGGAGGCCTACGTCGCGCAACCGATCCCATATGGTCCCTTTAGACGTATAACATTAGTCGATTGGTTATGAAAGAAGGAGAGCCTATTCTTTATTATCTTAAAGATGGACCGGGTAGGGCATTTGTTCGAGAAGAGTTGTTCATAGTTCCCGACGGTACGGTATTACCACCATAACCATAAGCATAGGTAGTTACACCATCATTATCAATCCATCTCTTTGTATCTAAGGGGGATAATGATGTCTTGTTCATTCTAAATCCATATATCCTATGATTGTAACTTCTTAAAGAGTTCATCTCGTGTTTGAACGTTCTACCATTGAATAATGATTCTTTATACTGTTCGTGTTTGATATGCTTTTTTACAACATACTTCTTAACACCCTTAGCTTTTCTTATCTCTCCATTATCGGACTTCTTTATAGAAAATATCTTAGGTCTTAATCCCACATACTCCACTATAGGGGTCCCAGCACATTCATCCTTCATCTTACCTAACACCTTTTTATTTACTACGCTGTGCAGTGGATTATCTTCTGTTGAATTTTATATTACTCTTCTGCATATGCAACGCGGCTAAGTCGTTATTGAATATCTTGCTTCTGTTAAAAGCCGGACTGGCTATAAGTTTCCTGAGTCTTTCTTCCTCATTAGACCTGACTAATTTAACATCAACACGCTTCCTCAGATTCTCCATAGTTTTACCAAATACTGAGTTATTCATGAGCTTATACAGATTCTTTTCGAAATCGCTGGTAGCTATCTTTCTTAAATCTGTGTTCAACCTTATATAGGGCTCCATCCAAGGGCTTTGATCGAACTTTAGAACTCTGTTGATTTTCTTAAGTTTCATACCTAACGATAGATACAACTGTAGATTTCTGTAGTGAACTATATATTTTGTTTTATCCATCAAATTTGGTACGAGTTTTTCTACGTTAGCTAACCTACTATTACCCATCAAGGAGCGTTCATATTCCGACATCCAATCTTTATTAACCATTAATCTTTCGGGAGCTAGCGGATAACTGTTATGATCTTTATGTAACGAATTTGGATATTCTAGGTCAACTTCTAGTATGTACCCTTTATTCGCATCATTCACATTGATATTATGGATATCATTCACTTCAATATCATCAATCCACTCAAAACCAACTGTGGGTAAAGGTTGACTAATAGCCCATCCGTACAAATTGTTAGCGTCGAGATATAATATGTGCGTGTCGGGTTTACTGGGATCGTATCCTTCCACTAATTTATTATTAGCCTTAGAATACCTTTACGCTGCCATCGATATACCACCTCTTAATCCTTTCTCAATAAACAAGTGCATATCGTAATCTGTGAGTAGTTTTAGTTCTACGCCGGTCTTCTTCAACAATGCATCCAATGATAGTCCGGGACTGGAATAGTACCATGCCGGGTCCAAGCCGTATTGTTTTAAACATGTCTTTCTAAATATCTCGAATATATCGGTGAGTAACAGTACATCGGTTTTTAAGTACAGATCGTGATAATCGCCTAAATTCTTACAACCTAATTTATCCCAGACCGTCAGAGTGTGTTCATAATCGGCATCTGTTATTTTAGATTCTGTTAAGTTACTATAGAATGATTCGAGGGGTGGTAATTCAGTTTCTTCGAATCTAGACCAATCATCCATATATTCGTAAGGATATACACCTTTTCTCAGCAACAAATGACGAGTTATCTTATCGGTATATTTATTTGTTATCGCAAAGTCATCGGGATTGTTTGCATTAGCTAAATTGTCCAGGGAAGATAACAGAAACTGTACGGAGTCTATGAATCTAAGCCCATTACTTTGCTTTATTCTAGATTTCCCATCCTTGTCCCTATAATGTATAGGTTTAGTCAACGAGAATGATATGTATTTTTCCATATTATTAGGAATGCATGTTAAACCACCGTCGGTCTTTGAGATAGCTAGCATGATGAGATGTGAATCGTATCCCCTAAGGTTTGAAACACAACGGGGTTGGGTATTGTTTGAGAATTCATTTTTAGTTTCAAGTTACACTCGTTATGAGCGGCCCCCCGATAATTACCCGTGACGTGGCAATGATCTCTTACGGAATCCCCATCCAGGGGTTTATTACAAACGTGACAACTCGTTGACTTCTTATGGGCCCCCCAATCATCCCTCCTCATACACATGGGTTTCTTACATGATAATTTTTCCCTGATTATTCTCTCTTCATTTTGTAGATATTCTAGGAACTTTCCCGCTGCATCGGGACCTCTGTAAATCACGGAAGTGTTTGTTTTCCCATCATACTAACAACTATATATCCAAACCCACAAGGAATATGTTCTTGAGTTTTGTACGTAAAACTACTATCTTGATTATTATGGTTGGTATTTTCTATGGGTTTGATAAGCGCTTCGAAGTCGGCGTAAATTACGTACGGTACTGGCATTTGATTTCAATAATGTTCAAATTTTAATATATTGTTTCCCTCTTTAGGCATATCGATCCTGATAGCGGTCTGTCCAACACCTCTACAGTCTTCTTTATGCGCTTCTAATAGATCTTGTCTGCTGTACCCATGTAGGCATCTTTCGCAGAAATATTTCTTTCCCTTATATTTAGTTTGATCGTATAATAGCCTGTTTAAACTCTTTATCCACGTATAATGATATTTACCATCTTCTTCGATCAGAAATGAATTGATTCTGGGGATATGTTCCGGAGCGGAGCTTATCCTGTGTACAACAATTCCTTTAGAATGTCTGAAAACATTTATAGTTGAATTATTTTGCTTTTCCACCTTATCAATTTGTGATATTGGTGTAGGTTCGTCTATATCATCGAAGTTGAGTCCATCGTTTTGGGGATAGCTAGAAGGTCTATCCGGATGCTTCTCTATGGGGAACAATGCAGATCTTATCATCATTCTTAAACACTCATCGGATTTATTTTTTACGTTAATTATGGCTTTTTTCTTCTTATAATACGGGGGTAAATCTATATAAGATCCACCTTTGAAGGGCATATAATTTGCTATATCTAAATATAAACTATCGATATTATCCACACCCCAACCCGAACCTCTATTAGTCCAGCGTTCTAAAGTTTCCTGTATCCTCTGAATTGATGTATCTAATGATACGTTTATAGTATCATGGGATAACATTTATACTAAGTTATCTTATAATAATTAGATCTACATCAAGTGCTTTTATGAGTTATCGTGGTGTAATATTTATACATCATTTCATATAATTATAGTTTACCAAGTTATAAATATCATTAGGTAAAATGCTTATATAAAATATCAGTAGTTTCAGTTAAAGCTGTTTTAGATGGTTGCTAGCCTAAGGTAATGGGAGCGCGTCTTCTAGACATACTATTCAATAAGACAAGAGTTACGTCTACATAGTTTAATTGATTTGAAGCTTTTAGGTAAATGCTAGCCTAAGGTATCAAGATCCCATC